CTGACTTCGATCAACCCAGAGGTTGTTTCAGGGTTTGATCTGTGAGTTAGCCATGCCCCGGCTGGCTTCGATCAACCCAGAGGTTGTTTCAGGGTTCGATCTGTGAGTTAGTCATGCCCTGACTTAGATCAGCCCAGAGGTTGTTTCATGGTTTGATTTATGAGTTAGCCATGCCCTGACTTCGATCAGCCTAGAGGTTTTCAGGGTAAAAATAAGTTGTCTAAAATTGTTCAAAGTAAGTGCGCATCCGTAGTGCATCCGTATAGGGTTGATGATTCGACGAAGGACAAAAAAGATTTAAAAGAAAAATGTACACGAAATTTGAATCCAAGTGCTCATTTATCATTGTCGGACTTCACGTCTGAAAAAAAACCGGACTTGTAAGCTTGAAATATTTAGTTACCAAATAAATCGAAAAAATAAATTAGAGTATATAACGTAATATTTCCGGCTCTCTTTACCCAATAAAGAGTACGACTCAAGAGCATGAGGATATACAAAAGTCTTTGAGAAGACTGCATATAGTGCATATCTGACAGGATTACATTCAGAACTTTGGAGCCCCACTGTGCGACTTCTGTACTGAATGCCACTCACCCATGACTCTGAAAGCAAAATACGGTCTATATATTCTCCCTAATGGTAATATAATGACAAAACATAAAACTGATAGAAAGCAACATTAAATATGGCGAAAAAAAGAATTGCAGAGCAAGGCAGATTTATTGTATTGCTCTATTTCCTCCAATATAGAGAATGACTTCACTGAAGAGGATGAAGATGTCAAACTTTTTTTAAGAAATCTATTTGCTGTTGAAGATATTCGGCAGTATCATAACTAACCGTTTTGTTAACCTAAGCCGGATTTTCATACGTGTTTTAAAGTGTTTACTTTTTTTTGTTCGCCTTACGATAGAATCAATTCTAAAGTCAAAGGCCAAAACGTCAAATGAAGGCAGAAAACTGCTTATAAAGAAACGAATGGAAAGTGGTAGAAAAATGAGCAGATTTTGTACACACTTTGAAAACAAGAAAATGTTATGTGAAAACCAGTTATATAACGAAAAACGAAATTCCATGCACAGATAATTATATTAGTGTACTAGAAATAGAAAGTATTAGTCCAAAATAGGACATATTTATCATCCGCACAGAACCGTGTCTAATCTGAATTGAATAACTTGAAGCTAGGTAAGTCTATAGCATAAACTACGATCTAGGAATCATTGTTAGATTATATCTCCATGCGAGTAAGACGGTTGGGGAGCACAACACGAGATAAATCATTCAAATAATAAAGAACTATTTCATGCTGGTTATAACTGCGTAGAAGTTTTGGAATGTGCAAACGCTGCTCAGCGGAAAAGGCAGGCCTCTCTTTGAAAAGGCATCTTTGATTTAAAACAAAGAATCTGTCAGTCGCGAATCACAAACAATCTCGGCGGAGTGGACATCTCATTTCCGCAGAGAAGATGGTTGCTGCTTTAACTTTTTGAAACTTCTTTCGTGTTGTTTTGGCATTTTATGAATGTCTCGGAAAAAGTCCCCGAAGACAAAAGGAATAAGTTTTTATGTAAATAACACTCTGACAGCTATTTATCATGATGTGTAATTAAGCTGGAAAAACACTTTTGATTAAGAAAAGCAAATAATGGGTCGATAATCGCATTTGAAAAAACATGTTATTGACAGGATTTGACGGTTTGTTTGCGTAAGACGTACATTAAATTATTCGCTTTTGAAATTTGCTCAACAAATCAGCCGGTTCGAAGTTGCTACCCACGCCATGCAGAAGAGAAACGCAAAAAACTAATAGTTAAAGTTTGTAAAACTTGAAAATTTTGAAAGTAAATTCTAATTCCTATTTCTTATAAGACTTTTCAACTTTAATTCCAAAGATTACAGGGTACTTTTGATTAAAGATCAGTGAAGTTTCCGAAGTCGGGTACCATTTTTCCCCCATGCGTTTTTAAGCCTGTGTTTTGGAATAGAGATATGGGGATGCATATGTATTTAAAAAAATGGATTGTCTAATATATTTTTAAAATATTTACAGATAAGTTTAACCGAATTTACTCACCGTGTCAACGTGTCCTTTTATTTTTATCTAATTTATTTAATCACTACTGACATGGTATCCGTTTTGAGTTCAAACATCTGCATAGTGAAGCCATCTTTTTGTAATCATATTTGCTCGTGAAATAAATTAAATATACTGAGAAGCAACAAAAGTTAAATGCTTTAGCAGATGCTGGATGAAAAGATGGAAAGAAGACTGAAAAGCAAAACTACTGAAAAAGGTTTGTAGTTCCCAATGAGTTATTTTTGCAAAATGTTGACTCTTCAACTCTTATCTTCTTTAAGAAATATTGCGAACAAAGTTTGTAGAAGCCGTGTAGTAGGCGACAGATATCCAGCTATGGTTCATTTCTTTAGAACTTTCGTCCTTTAAAACCGATACAGCGAAACTAAGGCGATTTATCTAAAACATAACTTGACCACGTTTAAAAACTGAACACTGCCGATGAATCAAGATTTTGCTTTGAAGAATATATTTTTGAAAAAAATCAAATTATTTTACTCGTTTACACCAGAATTTTAAACCAGAGGTAGTCCTGACTGCACACCAAACCAAAAAACAACTAGCCAGGCATTTTTAAAAACAAACTTATAACGCTAGACGGTTTGTCAAGCCGTTTTAAAGATTAAAACTAGAATATCGGTATTAATGAGAGGTATTAATTCCGTCAACTGATGGACAGAATTTTGATATTTTTTACTTTTTAATACACTTTATATCCTTCCGTAGAAAGTAGAATGCAAACAACAACATATATTTATATAATGAAAAAGCGTAGAGCTCTCAGCGTTATTGCCGTTAGACCCATTAACCGTTTAAAGAACTTAACGGTTCTTATAATCTCTTTTCTCTTCTTTGTTCTTTGATAAAAATAACTATTTCTAAGTTAAAAAACAGCCGCTTACCTCAAAAGGTACTAGTCTGTAGTCAGCAGTAGTAAACTCCCTAGTATTTATGGTGTTGTTCACCTTCAAATCCAAACCAGCCTACTAATGTTTGCACTTTGGTATCGAGTATAAAGCTAAAGCCGTTGAGCTGAACGAGTGTGGTGAACACTACGACTCTTCAATAACCTACCAGTTGCATACATAAATACATACATGCCGAGAACGCGTGTCACTCTCATGGGTTTAAATGAATGCTCGTGTAGCTCATATCTCAATTTAATTACCTCATATGTCAAGAGTAACAAAAGGTCAAAAAACCAATTGAGAATACAAACAAGAAGCGACGGCTGAAAAACTGTCACGTGACTAAACAGGAACCCAACAAAATGCCATAAATTTATTTGGTCAAAAACCTTTGAAAATAACGAGGGACTGTGGAGCTTCGGTGCCTGGGGGGTTATTACCACTTATAATCTTGCCCTCATTTTTGATTTATTGCGGGTTGTATTTTTCCTCCCGGGAGGGGGGAGGCATATAATACGGTTTGGACTATCAATCCGAATATCAGCCCCGGCCCCGCCGACTGGCAGCGAACTGTCACGTGACTAAATAGGAAGCCAACCAAATGCCATGGAAGAATGTGGTCACTGAATATGGCTACTTTTGAAAACTACTTTCTCAGTTACAAACAGGTTAATTTGGATTTATTTTCTAGGATTTATTTTCTAGGTAAATTTTTGCAATTATATCCTTATGAAATAAGAGGCAAGGCTTGTCTAAGGTCGGTTAATGTTTTTTCGCTTAAAAATATCTTTAAAAGTACATCAACAATAAAGCTCTTTGATCTGCCACAAATGGCGGGAAAAACGACACGCGTTCTGCAAATCAACCCAGGTGTTTATAGAAAACGAGCCTTGTGATTGGCTGTCTAGGTTACGGATGCTGAGTGTTTTGCCACTGTGTTACTTTTTAATTGAGCAGTTAATCTTCGGGTGTCAGATACTAATCTCCTCAATGAAAGAGTAACAAAATTAAGTTATAACCGAATTTTTTAGTTTTCATACGGTGCTGTACGTAGGTAACGTGGGGGGTTGGGGAGGGGAAAGCCGTTCCCTTATTCCCTTTCCCACCACCTCCCCCTTCGCTTCTTTTTTTGCTAGGTTTCAGTTTAAAAGCCCGGTTCCCTTGGTTACAAGAAGGTTGTGTCTAGATGGGATACTCGCAGTCGAGGTGATTGAGAGAGGGTTGTGTCTAGATGGGATACTCGCAGTC